GATGAAGCCCCAGGCAGCCCATGCTGGGTGCTCTGCACCCAGGCACAGAGGGAATGGTTGGCTTTTTGGGGTGCTGGAGCTACAGACACACTCTGCCTCCCATTCCCACTGCACTCAGAGGTGGTTAGCCACAGGGGAGACCTGCAGCAGCAACAGAACCTGCATCTGGGTGTCAAAACACAGGCACAGGAACCTCCTTCCCTCAGAGACTATGACAAAGAAGCCTTAAGCATGTCAATAATTCCCCTTTGGCACCAGCTCCTTTTCCTCACCCAGAAACTAACTCTTTTCTAGCTATCACCTCCTAGGCAAGCACCACAAATAACTTTCACACGAGATACCTCCAAGCCCAGCTCTGGTGGCCAACAAGCCAATGCTTTGGGACTGGCATCAGGGAAACAACCTAGATTAAGCTCTACAATTAAGCTCAACAGAAGGTTGGTTTAAATGCTCTCATAATAACAAAACCTACCAGTTTAGACTCTGAACCACCTTGTGCTGCACTTCCACCACCCCAGGCACTGCAGGAGTGGGGCGCACGGCTTGTGGCTTCTGCAGCACCAGGACTAACAAGCAAATGTACTTCCCTGAGCCCTGCAAAGTTGGTGAAAATATTTGGCTTTCCCACCTCTCCCCACACACAGAGGTTTTAATAAGCTTTAACAAACACACAAGCAAACAAACCCTTAATTAAAATAAAGAATGTAAATTCCTGACCTGAAGGCTCCTAAGAAACTTCGACAATCCCCAAACATGCAAGTGATGGTGGGGGAAAGTCCAGCTGGGCTAAAGACAGTGCTGGAACATCCCACCACAGCAGTGGAGGATCACACCACAGGGATGCTGCGATTTTAATGCAGATCTCTCCACTCCCCCCAGTTACAAGTGCATTTTGTCTTTTTTTGGGTGCAATTTTTTCTGCAAACACACCTCACAGGTAACTGCTCCTGGGCAGGTTCTTCAGACACTGCGCCACATGCTCTGAGGGATGGTTGGTTTATTCTTTTATTCGACTGTCATTGGTACTGGTTATTTGGGGCATCCAAACCGAAATGTTAGAACTGCAAGCTAAGAGAGCAGCAACACAGCAGATCCGTTGTAAACAATTTATTATTATTTTCTACCTCAGTTACTTACAGGAGAAAAAGTCATAAAAAAAGAAAAAAACAAAACAAAACAAAACAAAAAAAAAAGAAAAGCACAGATGGACTATTTACAAAAAAATGAGAAAATTCACAACAGCCGAAATGTTTGCAAATCATGCACACTAAGACAAGTTCACAAAAGCAAAGCAATTCATAGCAAAAAAAACCCCAAACAAAATGGTAAGAAGCCATACAGATTAAAAAAAGCTATCGCCTGCAGAAGAGTCAAAAGAAAACTACCCAATTATTACATCAAGCATCTTTAATGAGATGAACAGCACAGCCGTGGACTGCAGAGCCTCTGACACAGTTTGAACACGTGGATTAACAGACATTACAGTGCATTACAGTCCTACTGTAAGCATGCAGAGACCTTCTCACAAACTCGTCAGCCAGGCACAAACACCTCAGGAAGGGCAGGGGTTGGGCACACTGTGTGCTCTGCCCCAGAGTCCAGCCCTGGCCTGGGCAGAGCCAATGGGTGAGGTCTGCAGCTCCCCTGCCACTCGGGGGGAGCCGGAGAGCAGCTTAAGCATGGAAAGCTGGGCCAGAATTTGGGAGGTTTGCCCACGATTTGCAAGCAGAGTTTGGAAGGAGAAGCAGGTGCAGGGAGAGTGTGGGGCAGGGCAGAGCCTGGGATCAGGGGATCAGAGACTCCCAGGAGGAGCTGGGCTGGAAGAGACCTCAAAGCTTGTCTCATTCCAACCTGCTGCGAGGGCAGGGACACCTTCCACTAGCCCAGGCTGCTCCGAGCCCCACGGACAGGAATGGCTGTGGGGCCTCAGCCCTTCTCTGGGTGCCACCTCAGCGTGGCCTGGTGTGACAGGGGCAGCTCCCCCAGAGCCCTGGGCAGCCCCCGAGTGGCTCCGAGAGCCACAGCCACCAGCACCACGGGGTCACAGCCCTGGGGTAATTACACCCCGCGCCGCTAACGACCCCAGGGACGGCATCCACCCTGGACACGGTTTGGGCCCTGCTGGACGTCGCCACGTTAGAAAGCGCCAATCACTCTCTTTGGGGCTGTCTATGAGACCAAATCAACCCTCTTTTGCTTCCGTGGTGGAATGGTTTCTAAGAAGTTTGTGAGAAGTCATGCCTTAAGAACGCCCCTGTCCCCCTCCCTGTGAGTTACATTCCAAGTGGGCATTAAAAACTCATAACAAAGCAGAGGAAAAAAAAAATTGAAAAAAATCAAAGCAAACTCAAAGCAGTGAGGATATGGAGCCTTTAAAAAAAACGAAAATGAAATAAAAAGTCCAGTCATTCAAACCAGCCAGTAAGAGCAGCAATGTTTCAGTGGACATTGATATTAGACATGGACCACCCAGGCTTTCTCTGTCTCTCTCTCTCTCATTAGCACTGCAGTAAACCCAGATTAATTTGTTATGCATCTTTAAGAACTAGTTGATAAAAATTATGTCTTGTGAAATCGGCAAATAGTCTGCAAAGTGAAATAAGAACAGAAATTAATAGATTAAACTGAAAAGATAAGTCCCAGAAATAAAAAAAAAAAAAAAAAAAGAGACACAGAAAGAAAGGGAGTGATTGCAATGAAAATAAAAAACAGAGGCAATGTAGGCGTGGGGAAGGGCTGGGGGGGAACAGCAGGACGGGAGGGGACAGAGTGGCCCCCAAGGGGCTGTGTGTGCCTGGCAGGGGCTGTCCCTGCTGGGGGAGCAGCAGAGACTGCAGAGGCTGTGGGAGAGGCTGTGGAGAGGCTGTGGGACAGCCTGGCCAGGACCCTCCCGTGGCTCCACCACGGGACACACACAGCTGGGTCATGGCATTTGTACCTCACTTCACCCCGACAACAGCACACAGCACCACGACAGGTCAACTGGATGGGACTTCCTGCTATGGAGGTTAATTACTAAACCAGTAACTAGGCAGCACAACCTGTGGAGGGACAGACCAGCAGCACAGCAGGATGGTGCCTGTCCCCAGCTGTGCTGGAACACCCCTGGAGGGACCAGCCCAGCCCCCCTGCCTGCCCAGGAGAGCACAACTCCACTGTGCCAAACACACTGCCAGGTCTCCTCTGTGAGGAACCCCAGGAGGCAGAGGAAGCTCCTGGGCACTCAGACCCGGATGATCCTGTAGAAACAGAGTATTTCTCTCTCCAAATCATGACACTGAGATTTTGGACCTGACAACTTACTCAGAAGGCACATTTCAGACTCCCCTCCACCAGTTTCCACGTGCCTGTCGCACACTCCAAGCCACAGCTGTACCACAGGCACTTCTGCAAGTGCCAAAACACGTGAAGGGAAGGGTCAGCACGTCCCTGTCCTCACCTCCCACGCTCCTCCCGAAAGGTTTCCCGTACCCTGAGCTGTGCTCCCGTGGCACAGTGCTCCATCCTGCTGCTGGGCACCTCACAGCACCCTCCAGCCAGGAGGCTCCTGTGCCCTGCACTGTGTCTGCAGGTCAGAGCCCCAAAGCACCTGAGAAACCTCGAACGACTCCAGGAAGGTTCTGGTTGCTGCTGAGGAATAACTAATGGAGAGCACGACAGGGGCAGAGCTTTGGGGCAAGGAAACCCAACAAGGTGAGACAGGACTCTGAGCATCTCCTGGCACTGCAGACCCCACTGCAGCTCCTGCTTTCTGGTGGGCACAGTCCACTGGGATTTTTTTCTCTGCATTCAATCTCTGCAGGAGACTGAAAACAAGCAGGAAATGACTGGAAGGCCTGCTCTGGCAAAACGAGGCCCTTAATAAACACAGATCTAAGAGCGCTTGGCTGAAGGATGCGACAGCAGACACGCTCGTTCTAGACACGCTTGTAATTAAACTCATCTAAGCTCTGCCGATTTCCATCATTAAACCTATCAAAGGTGTCTCTCAGTCAGTGCCTTCATACACGTCAGCAGGTACACACAGCCATGAGGACCAGGAGGAAAGTGTGAGACAACACACAAGAGCCTGCTGAAGCCTCCTCCTTATATCGAACTCTGGCTGCAATCCTGCAGCTGCACCTCTCCCAGCGCCTCCAGCACAGCACTGGGACCAGCAGCAGTGGGACCAGCAGCGGTGCCACCAGCAGCCCTGCCCAGCACGCTGCCCTGCTGCCCGCCTGGCACCCTGCGTGTTCCAGACCTGGCCCAGCCTGGAAGAGGCAGCTGAGCTTTCAGTAGAGCCCTGGCATTAGTGAATCCAAACCACAAACCCTCACAGAGCCGTTCCCCTCAGTCCTGCCAAAACCAGCTGCACAAAATTCCCATCCCAAGGACACTCCTTGCCCTACGGATGATGACAATCCACATTCTCCCACAGCAGAGTCTCATCCTAACGACCTGGAGCCAAACAGCCACGCCGAGGCAAGGGGGAACCAAAGCAATGCCAAACCACACCAGCAACACACAGCTCCTGTGCAGGACCTGAGACAGAGCACAGCAAGGTGGGACTTGGACTCGAAGCTGAACAGTCACTTACCACAGGACAGCATGGGAAGGTGTGTGCGTGTCTGTGTGTAGCTCTACAAAATGTATGAGAGGAAAGGCCCAGCAAAGGGAGGTAACAGCTCTTCCGTGATGTCTCTTGCTTTATGTTTGAATTTAACAAAGTTTGTTTTCAAATAACCAGTACCAATTTACACGTTAGGAAAAAAATGTATTTAAAATATGTCTCTATAAGTATCTGTTGTAAAATAGGAAAAAAAAAAACCCTCGCTGTGGTGTGAGATGCTCCCTGCAGACTTGCCTGTCTCAGCTTGCAGCTATGGATATTAAAAAAAGGAAAAAAAAAAAGACAAAAAATAAAAAAAAAAAAAAAAAAAAAGAAAAAAAAAAAAAAAAAAAAAAAAAAAAGAAGGAAAGAGGGGAGATAAAGTAAATCTGCAATGAAATGTACATACCTGGGAACTGATAGCTGTAACTTGGGGCAAATCCAGGGTATCCTCGGCCATACGTTGCAACAAAATTCGGGTAACCTTGATCACAGAAACGTAAAATGGGAATATTTTGAATCAGAGAGACAGAGAGAGAGAGAGAGAGAGAGAAGTTTGAGGATTAATGAAGGGTTTTTTTTGTTTTTAAATACAATGCACAATGACAAGGAAGATGGCTGAGACTTAATTTTACAGAAGGCATTAAAAAATCAGATTTATTCTGCTCATGCCAAACTGCAGAGAGGTTTCATGGCTCTCCTGAATGGAAAGCTCTGGAGCTGTGGGCGCTCCGGCCCAGCTCGAGCCTGTCACTCTGCTAATTAACATGCACTTTGGTGTCTGGAGCCCAAGGACTGTGCATACTTGTTAGCTGGAAGAGTAAATGCCAAATGCTAAGGCTAAACACATAACACGGGTTTGCTCTGACATTTGGAGAGCTTACAATGAATGTACTTTGCTTCAGAGCTATTGACAGTTGGAGATTAAGGTAGTAGTAATTCTTTATCCCGGGAGTGTGAAGGACAACAGTTAACACATCAAAGAGTTGGAGGCAGCAGCAGAAACGAGCCAGGGAGTCAAAGAGCTTTTAATTTTTCAGGAAAGTAAAAGGAAGCTGCGCGAGGAGCTCCGAGAGCCGTTTCGGAGATGCAGTCGACCTCTGGCAGCTCCGGGAGGTTTATGAGGAGAAAAAACCCACTCAGGATCATTCTGTTAATAAAGACACCTCAGTCAAGGCAGAAAGTGGCAGCTCTGAGGGCTGGAACGAGCAGCTGGAACATGAGGGAGCAGCAGGCCGGAGGGTGCTGTGGACACCTCCTCTTGGCCCTGCGGCACTCGGCTGAGGTCGCCCCGTGCCCGTGTGCTGGGAGGGGTTTATCCTCTGCTCTGTGTGTGTGTGCTGGAGGTCCCACCAGTCCCTGGTCGTGTGTGGGCTGGCAGCAGCCGTGGGGTCACACAATGTGATCCTGTTTGAACATCCCCATCCTTCTGCAGAACAGCATGTCACAGAATCATAGAATCAACCAGGTTGGAAGAGACCTCCAAGATCATCAAGTCCAACCCCACCGTGGTCACTGGACCATGGCACTAAGTGCCACATCCCGAAACCCTCCAGGGATGGTGAATCCACCAGCTCCCTGGGCAGCACATTCCAATGCCTGAGCACTCTCTCTGTAAAAAAATCTCTTCCTAATATCCAACCTAACCCTCCCCTGGCAGAGCTCGAGTCTGTGCCCTCTTGTCCTTTCTCTGCGCTCAACACGGCTGTTTGCTGAGACCTGTACAGCTGATGGCCCAAAGTGTCCTGCACACTCAGGAGGCTTCTTAAATTTCTAACCTCACACTGATCCTCAACCTTTCCTCACTCAGTGTCCTTAAACAAGGCACCACCCTTGGCAGTTCAAGTGCACTAAACACTGCAGAACATCCCTGCTGAGCCTCAGCATCAGCCCAGACCTCTCCAGATCATGAAACCATCAGGAGAAGTTTGCTCCCACTGCCTGAAGCCAGTGGGAAACCCATCAGTGACGCCAGCAGCTGGTCTGGAGCCCAAGAACACGTTCAGCAGCCCAATGGCTCTTCTGGGGGGCTCCTATCTCTGCTTTTACTTATCCTTTAATACACTCATCCATCACACAGCGATTTCCCTGCTGCAGCAAGTCCCTCCATTTCCCATCAGATTTATATATACATACAATGTCCTATTAATCATAATCTAAACCTGGGAGATAAAAATGCTTGGATGAATTCTGATGCTGGGATTAAGCCGTGCTGAGGAACACAGCCCCGCGACGCCCGGACAGCATGTCGCACTATCAGCGATATGTACACACTGCTTAGCCCCTGCCTATTTATTTCACAGCTCAACAGCTGGATTCCCTTAGAAATTAATCACCTCTGTCATTAAATCAGATCTCTCGGAGTTAAGCTTTACAAACCTTTTTCCCTTTTTTTTTTTTCCAAACAGCACTATTGATAAATGGATTGTTTGCTAAGTAAGTAGCGCCGTTCACACCACCGCTGAAAAACTGCTCTGCAGCGTCTGACCACAGCCACTCTCCTTGCCAAGTGGAGGGAAAGAAGTTTTATTCCGATTCAGATGGGCCTGAAGCAGGTCTGTCAGCTCACAAGTGCTGGGGCGCAGGGGGATGATGTGTCAGGGCTGCAGCTGAGGGGTCTGTGGCCTGTGCACACTGGCACAGTGCTGGATGTCAACCACCTGCAGTGGTTTTTGGATGCCACCTCTGACTCTGCCCGTCCTGGGATGGTCCTGCCTCTGACCTCAGGGCAGTACCAGCACAGCCCCAACTCTCCCTGGCCCACCCTGGCTGTGCCTGGTGGCTGTGGTACCAGCCGCGCTGCCTGGGGGCTCTGCCCACACCACCAGCGCTCTCTAAGCCAGGCAGATGAAATCATAAATTTATAATACAACATTACTTCAATTTTCCTCTTCATTTGCTGCTGCAGTGCCCAGCTCTGCTCCAGCGACTCGCAGTGGCGCAGAGAGATCTCCTGGCTGAAGAGCAATCGTGCCCGTGTGGCTGCTTTACTGGGCAGAGCTATGCCACGCTGACCTACCCACCACTTCCATCAGGTGCCATCCTCACCCTGCACCAAGCACCAGTAACTCCTGGGGAATGATCGATCCCTTGTTGCTGGACCAAAAATTCAAGTTTCACCTGGATCACATCCTCCAAAGTGAGACCCCCCTGCCCGCAGAAGCAGAACTCAAACCAACAACCAAACCACTTTGACACCAAGGCTTCCACCCAGCTCCTGGCCATGGGAATGTCTCTTCATTTTCAACTCTGGTGACCTAAAATGGACAAAGCTCCTGATCAATATGTGGGAACACTGAGCACATTGAGGCTTGGGAACCTCTGCAAAATGAATTCAAATGCTCCAGTAAATCCAAGAAAATTACTGTCTCCAACTGTTGCTCTGAACAAGGAATGTCAGATCCTCTGCAAGGAAAGGCACATGCTGCCATGAAAATCCTGAGGGTCTTTCCCAAAAGGAACATGCTGTGACCTTGACATAAACACCTGTGGCATGAGGGAATGAAAGCCAAAAATAATCCCCTACAGACACAGGGATGGTCACATACTGGGGAGCAGCTACAGAGAAGAAACAGATCTGATGGAGAAGCTTCTCCCTCAAATCAGAGCTGACCTGCCTCCTGCAGCTGTGCCCACCAGTGATGCCCATGGCTGGTGCTGCTGCTCGTGGTGCCCACGTGCCATGCCACCCTCCCAGAGCTCCCCATCAGAATCCTGCTCAGAGGCAGCTGCTACTCCATTGAGCAGTGCCTGATGGAAAAGGGAATGACTTTCTTTGAAGGGCACAAGCTTCTTTAATGCATG